CTGCGTGTTTCTTCATACAGCTGAGGGTCCAGCAAACCCTTCATACTCTCCTTGTCTCGGCATACTGGTCCTTGGCAAGCTGGACATAGGTCCTGGATTCTGGTTCCGAGGACGGGTCACTAGTCGGTCATACCGCAGGAACGCGATGTTTCATTCAACACACTGCAGCACTAGGTGCTTGTGATACACAGTGAGGTTTAGTAAAAGCATGAGGGAAGCAGGCTATATGTAAACACATGAGACACTTATGGAAATGATCAAATGCTTTTACATGTCTTCAGACTGTGGGTGGAAACCCCACAGGCATACTGTATGAAGGACTCAGATATATGGAGTAAACAAGAGAAACAAGAGATGCAGAAACAAAAATACTCTCTACTATATGTGGTATTTATTCAACTCACAGTACATTCTACAGATGCACACGTGTTACATCACCTTAATACAACAAAGTCTTGTAATACCTCCTCTTAAAAATGATGAATTGGTCCTAAAAATAGAAAGGAACAAATTTAAAGTCACCAAAACTGTACATTATTAAAAATTCACTTAACACCACATTTGGTTTTCATATCTTTTTTGAAAAAACATCTTGTCCCTTAAAGTGTAATAAGGAACAACGTTTATTTCCTGTCAATGGATTTGAGTATGAGTACAGTGTAAGAAACAAGTTAAATAAAACCCAGACGGTGGAGTCATCCTGTCGCCTTCATAGCACACTCAACATGCCGCGCAACATCGTACGTTGGCCCTTGTACAGCACGGAAAAAAAAAAAACATTAAAAAGGAATGTAGGACAGAAAACCAGGAATGTGCCCAGTACTTCATTATCAGAGAGGATTTTAGCCTTGAACATAACCACCTGTAGATGTATTCACCTGGTCAGACAAACTTCACACCAATTGCAGTTGCAAAGTTGCCAACAGTATTTTGCCTTGAACAAATAAGAACGAAACTAAAAAGTGTGAGCTGTGGCTTCTCTAACACGACTACTTGACAGGTGCTAAAACTATAGTGGCGTCCTCTCACCTGTGACACAGACCAGGTGTAACCAGCTCATACTACTAACATGAAGAACATGGAAATATAAGAGTCTACGCCCAGACTGACTGACCAATGCTAAAAAAAATCCTCCAGTTTCAGAAACCAGTGTCGTTCACACAGCAGCAGAAGGTTGGCATGTGTTTTTAAATCATGTGCATGTTGTGTGTGCATGTTGGTGTGTATTTGTGCGTGTGAGACGTTAAGTGGAGGTTATACAACGTCTACTTGTGACAGTCCAAGAACAGAATCCTTTTAGTTTAACTGGCCTTTTCATAAATTGTCTAGACATCTCTATAAGGTAATCTGTACACATTCACTACAAGCTATTGCTATTAAATAATCCCAGCTATTGTAATCTTTATATATATTTATATATAGAATATATAATAAAAATATATTGAGCAAAAAAATTACTTCTAGGCATAAGACCACATTACATTACATTTCCACTGAACAGGTAAGAAATGGCCCAAGCTCCGTGAAGAGTTCTGACCCATTTTGTCATTGAGTGGTGATAAGCAGGTCCAGTAGGCAGCAGTGAGGCTGCAATTGTGTGATCAGTCCCTGACCTTCAGTACGAGTTTGAGAGCTAAGATATTCAGGGCCTGAGACTGTGTAATCACCCCACAGCAGGGCTCGACCAAATGCCTCGCTACAACATGGGGCTCGTGAAAGGACGTGACAGAAAGATGCAGGCGGGAGATGAGGTGCTGAGGTGAGGATGGGGAGACATGAAAGAAGGAAGGCAAAGTGGAGAGAGACATGTTCTCACTCTCTGTGACGGGGAATGGGTACAAGTTCACGCTGGTTCAGCTGAGCGCCTTGAAAAGGTTAAGCTGATAGAGGAAACAATAACAGACAATAGCCAAATTCTATACATACCTACCTATACATGAGAGAATACATGTGGGCTGGAAGAAGCTCCAGACAGTCTTAGCAGTAATGGAGAGTGTGTGACTGGGACGGTGAAAGCACCAACAGTCTACAGCCCCACCATCAGGGGGAACGTCATAGGCTCTTATTTGTCCTTATTTGAGTAGAACTCCGCCCAGCGGCTCTCAAAGAAACGCCTCATGGAGTGTCCAGCCATTCCCACCTCCGACGTGTCCTCATTGAACAGCTCACAGTTGTTGAAGACCAACTGAGCGTCTGCTGCAAACTCCTCACAGCTGCAGTACCTGAGACAAGGAAACAGGAGGGAGAAAAGGCCGATATGAAAAAGTAATGACCTGGAGGAAAGAAAGAAAGTGGTATAGTATGCAACAGGACAGAAAAATACTCCTTCAAGAGGGAGATGTATATTTAATAAATGTATGAGCACAGAATGATCAGTTGTAGGGACCAAAAAAATCTGGGAAGTGGCAGGGAAAGAAATGACTACGGTCAGTCAAGCCAAATTACCCTCAACTCACCCAATAAAAGTATCAGCAGATAAAAGGCAGGACTGACAAACTGCGTACAAAAACATGGACAATTCCTATGGTTGCCACTTGAAATGAATATAAAGTGGCACTTCAGATTAGACTGGTTGCCTGTAGACGTCTGGTATAATTGACCTGAAATAGATTTTTAGGATCCTAAAAGTATTTTATGGTTTGTAGAAGCTATTTCCTCTCTTCTTTGTTGAAAAATGTTTTCAGATGGTTTTCAGATGGATTTTTGGCCTATTCATGGTCTTTTTGAAAAGTTATGTTTTCCATAAGGATTTCAGGGTTTCAGTTAAATATGTAACCGTTTTTGGGTGGATGCTGGATGATAGTTGTATTTAGTTTAGATGTGACTCTTGTTAGTTGTAGTAGATGTAGTCAGTACTACCCTCTTTCTCTGTGGACCAAGTATATTTGTCAGCCCACTGCTGTGAGCTTTTATATAGTTTTAGGTTTTTGTGGGTAAGCTGAGTAATGTTTTTGAAGACATTTTAGATTTTTGTTGACTT